AAAAAAAAAGAATGTAAATTGTTGTGATGAATGGTCAGTGGAAAAAGAAAAAGAAAATTATGTTTTTTTTGTTTTCACGGACGGTTTACTTTGATGTTGCTATGGTTATAAAAGAAAAAAGCTTCAAATTGTTGTTATGCAAATAAAAGACTATAAACTTTGACCTTATGGTTGAACTAAGACTATAAACTTTGACCTTGTGGTTGAACTAACGGGATTCACAAAAGTGAGAAGACAATTCTAGGAAAAAATTTTCGGTCGTTTCAATTGATGTTATGGAGGGCTATCGTTATTCAGATCAAGACAACGATTACCTGATGACTATCGTGATTCAAGTCAAGCCAACGATTTAATGCTGACTATCGTTATTCAAATCAAGCCCGCAATCGCATGACGATTATCGGTACAACTAGTAATCAAGCTCAAGAGTATTTAAATATGGAGTAAAAGTGGAAAACTGGATATCCTTATTTTTTCCTTATGAATACAATATAAAGAAAAAATTCTCTTATTCATAATTAATAATATAATATTTTTCAAAATATATATTAAATATTATATTTAAATGGTAAGGAATGTCATTGGCCCATAAAGGGGTGAAATGTCTTAGTATGTTAAAAAAAATATATATATATCAAAGTTGTTAAAAGATACTTTTTAAATGGATCTAGATACAGATACATCGTCTAAAATAATATCTAGATACAGATATTTTAATCAAAAATCTATCTAGATACATAACAGATACCACATTTTTATATCTAGATACAGGATCTAGATACTTGTATCTAGATCCTTTAACAACTCTGATATATATATTCTCATTAGACGTTAATCAGATGGATTGTAGACATCTGATTGGAGAAAAAATTATTATTATTTAATGTAAAAAAATAATAATTATTATAATAATATATTTTTTTGAAAATATATATTTTTTGTAAAATTAAATCATTGAAAAATTTTTTAAATTTAAAAAGAAAAAATATAATTATTATGAATTTATTTTTTCGATATATATTTTTTGATTGAAAATATTTTTTTTGTTTTTATGAGTACGAAATAAAGTTTTTAAAGAGTGTAAAATTCGGAGAATATATTCAGGAATCAAAAGATTATTTTTTTGTGTTAATACTTAAAAAGGTAAGGAATGAACTGAAGGGCATGCCGATTTTATAGCTTATTACTTTTGAGGCCTATAAATTAGTGACCTATTCGGATCCTCCCTTCGTTTTTTAAAGGCTAACAATGTAGTTTTCAATGGAATGAAGAAAATTATTAATCTGAAATGGTCAATTTTTTAACCAAATATATATAACTGAATTATGCATATGCGGTTATAATCTTCTTTAATATCGGATCACATATAAAATTTTTATAACACAATATATGATTTCTACACTCAAAAGTAATTTTATAAAATTATTCTTTATTTGAACAAAGAATATGTTTAGACTAACATAAAATTAAATTTTATAAATATCGAGGGTCTGGGGCTTGTGCGTTATTTCTAAAATTTATTTTTGCTGATTTTTTCATTTTTTTCATTTTTTTTTAAAATTTAAAATTGCTTTTATTTATAATAATTTAAATTTAAACATGAATTACAATTTACAATAAATTAAAATACTATAAATTAAAATTTAAAAATTGTATAATTGAAATACAATTTTATGATTGAGTTATCAAAAATAAACCATAATTATGTCTAAAAATTTCACTTTAAATATTTTGGCGCAAATATAAAAATTCTCTGGCTTCCTATGTAAAAGCCGTATTTTATTGCCTAGATTTTTTTAAAATTATATTTTATTGGCTAAAAGTGGCCATTTGTAGAAGTCACTATTGGAGTGAATATGAAGTTAATAAAATTTTTGTATTTGTTAATATTTTTCTGCCTATATTAGTGGGTTGATATTTAAGTTTGAGGGGAATAAAGAAATATATGAGTACCGAGGGACTAAAATATGGTTGTCATACCATCAGGTTTTATTGAAATTTGAATATAATAAGAAATCATATTAGAAACTGAAATCATTGATAAATTTAATGAAAATCCGTCCTAGCTAGTCGTTACGGAGAAAACAAACTTAGGTTATGCAGATATAAATCAAGGTTAATTAATCAAGATTTTAAATTATCTATATCAAGACAAATATTCAAGAAAGTGAAAGAAACTATAATAAAATTTTTTAATAAATGTATCTAAGATGTCTATGGGTCTTTGTCCCATGTAAATGATCTTTTTGGGCGCATGGATCCTATTGCAATTTTAATTATTTCTTTATTTGTTTAAATATCAATAAATTTCACGAATTGTTTTACAATTATTTTCCATTATGGCTTATTTTTATCAATAAAGTAGTTGCAATAATATAAGGCGCGTACCCGGCTGGGGGGGGGGGGGCAGGAGGACAAATCCCCCCCCCCGCCACCTCAAAGCCAAAAAATACAGATGCCGGAATATATTTTTCAAAAATATTATTGTTAATATTAATATATATTTGTTAATATTTATTCCTATCTCATATATATATTTGATTACATTTATTTATTACATTCATCTACTAAATTATTTTATCAATTAATTTCGATTTCAAGTTTTCCTTGGCGTATTACCTATTATTTTCAAATTTTAGTGGCGTATTATTTATCTAGTCAAATATTAATATCTCTGAAAATCCTTGTCCAACAGGGAGAAAGAAATTGCAAGCCTATCCAACGAGATCGAGTCTCCGCCATCAAGCAGTAACAGCTTTTATGGAGTTAGAAGAGCCGATTATTAATGCTATTACTGAAATATCACAATGGCTTGAAAGAAATATTTCCGCAGAAGCAAGAAAATTATTGGATTCTCATTAGAATGTACTATTTAATTATACAACTACATGACATTGACTTGATTAAGAGGATGAGAATAGCGGGGAGCATTTTATTAGAACTTAACGAAATTAGAGCGAATGTTGATGAAGAATTTCATACTTTATATGTTATTGTTTAGTCAAAAACAGAGCTATACGTGTTTAATATTTGTCCCCCTCGACTTGCAGCAAGCAAGCTCATCGTCAAAACATTTATATAGCATCAGTAGAAGAGTATTATAAAACAAATGTCTCCTCTCCTAGATACATTTATAACCCAAATAAATGAATAGTTTTTAATTCATCATGCAGTATTTACAACCCGCAGATATTACTTCCACAAAAGCATTTCCAACCTTTTTCAGATGGTGATAGAAAAAAAAATTCGTTAAATTTTTATCATGAAGATGTTAAAGTATCTTATGATGCCTTATTAGCTGAATAACTATGGTTGATACAGTCCCAAAAATGCTCTGGATGCTTTGCATTATTTCAAACACATTTTAGATTATATTCCCAATGTATTAAAATGGTTATATATATTAGCAACTCTTCCCATAAATATTTTAAAAAGAATAACAAAGCCCTGCAAAAGTACCATTTTCAGGTCATGACCCGGAATTTTCTCAAAAATTTTTTTCGGCCCGGGCTTTTTCTAAAAAAATTTTCAGGCCCGGCCCCGTTTTTTTGAAAATAAAATTTTCATGCTGCCCGGTTTTTTTGAAAATAAAATTTTCAGGCCTGGTCCGAATTCTTTTAAAATAAATAATATTTATTATTGATTTTTATAGCTAATAATAGCGATTTCAAATATTTAGTTTTAAAATATAGAGCTCGGCCCGGATATTTTATTTTAAAAAATTTTTTAGGCCCAGCCCGGTTGTTTTTTTAAAAAAAATTTCGGGCCCAGCCCGGTTATGTTTAAAAAAATTATAATATGGTCCGGCCCGGGGGCCGGGCCTACAAGTCTCTGAAAAACATACCTATGAAATACAACTTTTGAAAGTAGATTGAATGATTTGGATCTTTTGAATATTCATAGACATTTAACGCCAAGCAAGGATAGATAATTGAACAATTAACTCAAAACATATAAAATAAAATTATTCCTAAGAAACTTTTTGTGTATTAATTTATATTTCCAACATTTAATTTTATACTTTATATATAAATTTTAAAGGCTCAAAAAATTCAAATTTCAATTTTGGGTCATTTAAGTGATTCATATCGTGGTTATATTCACTTTATATTTTATAATTCACATTTATTTTATAGTTTTTCAATGCCGGTTTATATATAATTTTTTTGTAATTTACATTTATTTAAAATTGTGTATTAAAAAGGTTATTATTCCTAATTAATTTATACTTAATATTTTTAAATAACAATAATATTTCATAAAAAATTTTATTATCCCCCCCCCCAGACCAAATTCCTGCGTACGCGCCTGAATAATATATATCATTATTATATTTAAAAACAATCAATATTAGCAGCCCAAAAACGCCTCATGGGAAAGCTCATCCCTCCCGGTGTAGTTCACCCTTTCCCAAATTTTTTTAGGAAAAATTAATAATGTTAAAAAGTATTTTTTAAACAATTATTTTTATGAATAACATAAAAGTATTAAGTGTAATAAAATGAGATTTCATTTATTCAATATTATCAAGTAGTTTTAATTTTATTGCCGTTAGCTTTTTATAGCTCGCATGCTCCCTGGTTTCCCCTAAATGTGTCTTGATTATTTTATTTTTTTATCATAACAATAAAAATTAAGATTAAATTAGGCTTTGTAATAATATAAATAATAATGTGGCTATCCCTGTAATAGGCTGTGTGCTATCAAAGATAATTTATTTTGTAAGTAACAACAAGACTTAATTTTTTTAAAAAAATCTTATTGATGGCAATCATTGTCGTTTTGAAATTATAAGTCGAAATTAATTATGCCAATGAACATAAAATTAAGTCTATTTCCAAACAAGGTTTTTCAAAACTAAAAGCTTGAACAAAAATAAGCTGAATTATTTATCTTTCCCCATTTTGAAAAAACGTCTTGTTTGGAAATGTCTAAGTCTAGTTCTTACTTAGTAAAAGAATTCTAGAAAATAATGTTTATTGATTATTTTATATTCATACTGATTATTGAATTGATTTCTAGTCAAATTTTTGTCAATCATATATATATTATGAGAAGTTTCAATATTTGAAGCATGCTGGATGGGGTGTATTGGATTGATAATATGATTTTTGTTAGTTATTAATCTGGAATCTACCGGATTTATTATTTTCATGTTATTAACCGTTTCTATCGGAAATTTTGAAGGGTCTTCTAATAAAGTTTGAATGTTATTAGAATAGGGGGGCAAAGAAGAAGCCGATAGAATATTTTCGTATCTATTTATAAATTGTTTGTCATAATTATTATTTGAAATAGGCTTTGCATTGCATGTAAATAAAATTTGGGGTATCTTGTTGAGATTCACATTTTGCTGAAAGGTTTCATTGATGGGAAGAATGGATTGGTTTAACGACGATATTCCCATGTAAACCTTTTGATCCGCTAATAAGTTTCGAGGTATTTTTGGGTCAAATCTATTAGGAATACATATATCGATTCCTGGTGGTAGGATATTTTTGCATTGCCCGTCACTCCTAAAATTTTGAATGAGTCCTTGTGATTGGATATGCTGATTAAGATCCTCGAAAAAAAACTCTTCCAATTCTTTGAAACTTAAGTCTAGTGATGGCTCTTTCTGCGTCGTCATCATATAAATTCCTAAACGCTAACACATATTTTATTTTTAATTTAGTCTATATACACCTTACAATTTTAGTCAATTTAAAATTATTTATATCTACAAAATTGATAGCAAGAATTTATAAATTTTTTATTTATTACATTTATTAATATGTAAAATGTAATAAATATTTATTGATATTATTAATTTAGTATATATATAAAGTAGAATTTTGTGTTTATTTTTTGTTAATATTTTGCTATGAATAAATATGTGAAATAAATTTTAAAGGAATTATTAAAAGGAGATGGCACCTAATGACACCAATATAAATAATACAATAAAAATTATAATTAATAAACCGTATCCATTGACCTTATGATAAAAAATAATAATAATACCTACTTTTCAATTTCCTTATTTATATTAATTTCTTGTCTTCTTTTATCCAATAAACTTCCATCCTTTCTCGTTTTCACATAATTCATTTATTTTAAAACAATAAATTAAGTTCACATGGAAGGGAACTAGCAAATTTTCTTTATTTTTTAATATAAAAGAGATTGAGGCACTAAAATTCTATTAGCTTATCATCCAAAAAATACTATTATTATTTCTTTGTTTAATCATTTTCAGAGGGCAGAGTATTTTATAGCTAGGGCCAGAATTAAATATTTTTCATTATTTTCAAACCTTGCCCGATTTCTTTCCAATAATATATTTTGAGATAGCACCAGGTTTTTTTTAAAAATTTATTAAAATTTCTATATTTTATTATGGCTGCATTTTAAATTTTTTAATAGGGTTGAAAACAAAAACCCAAATCATACTTTATGCTTATACCATTAGCCGAATAATCAACTCTCTAAAGGTTAGTTGAATAATCAATTTTGCTCCATCTTCCATTTAAAGCTCGTTTATATTGAAGTCCATATTTATTCATAAAAATATCTAAAGATTATAACTATCCAGCTTCTATATATTCTTCACCCCAAAAGACACACAAAGAAAGCTCCATTGTTTTTCACCAAAACCCCATGTGTTGACTCCTTTCAACTCAATCCCCTAGGAAAAATTAATCCTCATGTCAGAAAATGACTGTCATTTAGTATATTATATAAAATTTATTTCTTCTTTTTTTCAACGGCTACAACAGTTTACTTTTTAATAAATACAACCTAAAGCGTATCCAAATCGTTGAAAGTGATTCAGACAATGATATTAATGAAATGGAAAATACCAGGGAAGAAATCTTAAGAGCTATAATACAAATTTCCCATTCCCTAGATTTGAAATTATTTTAAAATAAATATATAATCCAAAACTTTATTCAAATTTATTTGTTTAAAATGTAAAAAAAAATATTTCCTCAAATCAATCCAGTATAACCTCAAGAAACACCTAAAAGTAAATTGTCATTTTTACATTCTAATAATATTTATTTTATAACAGTTCATGAGTTTTAAGGAAATGGAGAAACGTCTAAATAATTTTGTTATAGGCGACTCTACATCCAAAAAGACTAATTCAATTCAAACCAAATTAATTAATAATGCAAATGACAATATTTATCAGAAATTGGCTGATAAAGTTATAGTTGATTTTATAATTTATACAGTTCAGCAATGTCCTTGGTTGATAATCTATCATTTACTATGATGATTAAAACTCTATCCCCTGGTACAACGATTTTATGCCGCCAGACACTAATGAATAAAATAGCAGATAACTTTAAAATGATGAAAGATGCTCTAATAGTAGAGTTATCAGAGATATCATATATATGTACCACGGGAGATAGTTGGACACATAACAGAAGATAAAATCTTATCTATATTTATAAATTGATCTGATTAAATATTTTTGAGCTTATTTGGGAATCACAGGTCATTGGCGACCCTAGGACTTTAAAAAGAAGATCTGTGTCATTAGCCCTCAATAATAGGATGCCAGACATACGATGTACTTGCAAATAAAATTATTGATAATCTATCTTATATTAAAAATATGTATATAAGATTAAATACGCCCCCTTACCCTCAAGTGCTAGTGTCGAGAGATTATTTAGTAAGCAAAACTTAAACTCTCTGATCGTCGCTCTAGACTTGGGGATAATAATATAGAAATGATTTTATTATTAAAATGCAACAAATTACCATAAATATTTAATTTTATTACATAAATTTTTTTTATAATCAAAACTAACCATATTTTAATATTTATAAATGTTGATTTTTATACATTTACTATACAATAACTTTATAAGCAAAAAATAAAAAATTTGTTTGTAAATATTTTTTACAAAAAGTAGCTTAAAAAGTAGCTAAAGCTACTTTTAAAAATAGTAGCTAATAGCGAGCTACTTTTTTGACAAATAACGATAGCGGTAGCGTGCTACTTTTAAAAGTAGCGTTTAACAACTCTGCCTGAATTGTTTTTTTTCTTACTTTATTAAATTTTTATTCCATTTGTTTGTTTTAAATTTTTATATATATTTGCTATTTTTTATCGTCGTTAATTGCATTTTATATGACCATTGTTTTAAATTAGTTTTTTAATAATAAACTCAATCTACAAATAAAAAAAAAATATCAAACCCTGCTGCCAAAAAAAATGAATTTTTTTAAAAATATCATCTTAGTGACGTACTATTAAAGTTGTCAGGCGCTTAGCCAGGAATTTTCAACGAAGGAGGGGGGAGGTGGGAGGGATAATTTTTTTATAAATGTATTTTTTAGAGCATTAAAAATTTATTAGAAATAATCATTATATAAAATTTATTAGAACTAATCATATTTGAAAATAATTTCGAACACAAATAAATATTGGAATATACAAAATTTTAAGATATATTTTAAATGTAATACCTCCATTGTCTTTCTTGGAGGATTATCTACAAAAATGAATCTTTCATACCATTTAAATTCTGAAATTTATTGGTCTACAGATGCATTTATATCTTCTGAATATAATTTAGATAAATATTTAATTTTTCAATATCAAAATTTGATAAATCCACAGATCAGAGGGAGTTCTGAAATATAGTATTTGTCAAATCGTTCATTGATTTGAGTCAAAATTAAATCCAAAAGTATAATGATCCTAAACTAAATCCACGTTAATATTGGAATAGGCTCTTCTAGATCCAAAAAATGCTGTAACAACTTAAGAAGTCTCAGAAATAATTATATTCAACAAATTTTATCTTTAGATATCTGAACATTTTATACACTCTAGAAATTTTCTATAGTTATTAGTAGAGATAAATTAAATAGATTTAGATTTTGGTTTGATAAAATTTTCTTATATCCATCCGTCATTAAGGTTTAAAAAAATGTAAGAAAATAAACTTTAATTTTTCGTGAGATAAAATATTAATATAACAATAAATAAATATTAAAATTAATTATAACTTTTGCTAATATTTAAAATAGAATATAACTTATTTGAAAATGGAATATTTTGTAATTAACAATTCATGATACCCATTTATATTTTTCCAAAAATTCTTACTATGGGTGGAGGTAGGGGGGGGGGGGCTCTCCCCTTCTATCATTCCTCTTCTCGCTGGCAACGAGCCTGTAAGTTGATTTTTTTCGAATTTCACAAATTTGTAAAAATAAATATAAATATGTTATATATTACGATTTCAGTGAAGAGAAATATAGAAAAATGACAATTGTCATAATGATTATTTTTAAGCTTTATTTAGAAGAAAATAAGTAAATATATGAACTTCATTTTTGAAATTATGATTTCAATGAAAAAAAGAGGGGGGGGGGGGGCTCCTGCAGAGTTTTTCTCAAGATTTCTTTATTTACAAGTAATGGATATCTTGGTCAAAATATATTTTAAATTTATTTATTAAAATTTTTATTTGGTTTAATCGTTAAAAAATTGAGCAAAAATTTTTTTTTATAGAAGATAGATTTTATCAAATTTTTCCCTATACAATTCGAGATATTTTTTATAGAAGCTTTTTTATATTATAATTAAATCTTTTACAATTTCTGTACAAAAAAAAATCTCTCAAGTTGAAATACAATTTATATTAAATATTTATCTTCAAAGATTTTTTTCTGAAATATTTTTAACTCAATACAGTTTTAAGTTTAACAAACCATTAAGACAGCGTAACTTTTATCAAAACATTTTCGAGAAACTTTTATCACTAATGTTTATTAAAGCGAATTGATTTATAGATAAACTTTTGTTGCGAATTCACATTCGCATGCTATTCAGCGAAGACCATATCGAGATAATTTTTATAGCTAAAACCGAGATCTTTAGAGACATAACAGTGAAACTTTTATAGTCAATATAAAATAGCGAACATCTTATATAGATAAACCCAAATTGCGAAAACAATTATGCGAATCATATATAGAGCGCGATAACTGCTAATTGTGAATATTTTCTTAAAATTAATAGAAAAAATTATTTTCATTCTCTCATACGTTTTTCTGAACAATTTATCTTTTAAACTAAATATATCTTTTGCGGGCAATTCCATTTTTTATTTGAGCATTAAGAGATAATTCCGGACATTCAGTATTTTTTTTAGAATATTCTCAACGTTTAAGGAGTGTTTTAATTTTAATTCTGTACAAATGAATAGCTTAATTTCAAAATATGAAACTCGATATATCTGGTGTTAGCTTTGATATTTTAATTTCGCAACGATTGCATAAAAAGTATTCAAATAGTTTTATGATATTATGGAAATAAACTGTGACATAAAATTAAGGTGGAGTGGCTACGATGAAAATGAAATACAATACTAGACTGTTTATACAATCAGATAAAAAATTATAGGGATAACTAAAACAAATCCATAATTAACGACGATCCATATTTATTCATAATTATATTTATCTATCCATTAAAAAAAATATAAAGATTATAAATAATAATTATCCAGCTTCATATATTCTTCATCCCCATAGGTCCATTCTTTGTTCTTCCCAGCTGGCATCTTCTCCAATTAATCCACTATCTTCACTCCAAATCTCCAACAAAGGACTTTTATTGACAATCAACCATGTGATCTTATCATTTTCTTCCCCTCCACCAGGAAAGACTAATTCCCCTGTCAGAAAATAACTGACATTTTATGTATTATATTAAATTTATTTCTTCTTTTTTTCAACAGCTACAACAATAACTATTTTATAAACGGGAACTGAAAATATGAAATGTAAATTAATATTAAACTAATTATTTTCTTGCTAATTGAAAAAAGTTCATATGACTACCCATTTTTGAAGGCAATTGTGGTGAAAATCCTCAATTAAATTCTTCTAATTGGATATTTTATTTTCTATTTTTAAAAAAAAACTAGGTTCAAAAAATGTAAAATTGTAAAAATGGATATTTAAAAAAAACTAATATGAAGGTAATTCTTACACAATTTCTTCCAGTCGTGATAAACCTTTAAAATTATTCCCCTTGATACTGAAAATTTGGGAAATGTTTAAAGGCGAACAAAAATTAATTTTATTTACTTTTAGTTAGTTGAAGGTTGAAAATTCGATGGGTGAATTTAAAAACCTTATTTCAGATAAATTTAAAACAGAGACTGGCCTGGCAGGGCCAAAAATATATGATTTTAAAAATCTTGGTCGATCTTAAAATTTTTTTAAAATGAACTATCCATGCCCGATTAGTGCAGTTAAATATTAACCTTATGATATTCTAGCAGATAATTTAGATTAGGAGTATGATAATAATTTTTTGGCTTAATCTGGGTTAGGGATAAGACCCTAACTTACACATTATATGGCTTAAGGTTGATCGATAATTTTAAAATTAGGTTAAGTTACGTTTAACGTTAACTACTTTATATTGTTTATAACTTTGGTTAACAATTTTATTTGAGAAATCTTTTTCAAGAATATATTTACCATAAGTTTTTTTTTATTTTGTTGATTTTTTAAAAATTTTTAAATATTTTATTTGGAGAATTATATTTCGTGGGTACATTTATAGGGAATTTTTTCTTCTGTTATTGAAATATATTCTGGGAAATTATTTATTGTGGAAAAATTTTTTTCGGGGAATTATTTTATAGGGAAATTTCTTTCCAGGAAATAGTTTTTCCTTGGGATTTTTTATCAAAAGAATTTTTTTCCTTGGGGGTTTTTTAAAGGAAGTAATTTCTACGGAATTATGATTCTAAATTTTATACCTAAAAATTTCCTTTTTCCTTTTGTGTCTTTGCTTATTTATTTTATCATACTTCTTTGGGCGTGCAAGTTTTTCCAAGAAAAACTCAAATTCATATTGCTTTTTGTTATCTATGCTTTCGTTTTTCAAAAAAACCTATATTATTGTCTTTTATACAATATCTATAAAAAAATAAAATAATCAATATAATTAAATGATTACCATTTTGACACATTTAGGGGAAACCGGGGAGCATGCGAGCTATAAAAAGAAAACGGCAATAAAATTAAAACTACTTGATAATATTGAATAAATGATATCTCATTTTATTCCACTTATTTACTTTTATGCTATTCATAAAAATAATTTTTTAAAAAATACTTTTTAACATTATTAATTTTTCCTAAAAAAATTTGGGAAAGGATGAACTACACCTAGGAGGGACGAGCTTTCCCATGAGGCGTTTTTGGGCTGCTAATATTGATTCTTTTTAAATATAAAAATGATATATATTATTGCAACTACTTTATTGAGAAAAATAAGCCATAATGGAAAATAATTGTAAAACAATTCGTGAAATTTATTTACAATTTAAACAAATAAAGAAATCATTAAAATTGCAACAGGATATGCGCCCAAAAAGAGCATTTACATGGGACAAAGACCCATAGACATCTTAGATACATTTATTAAAAAATTTTATTATAGTTTCTTTCACTTTCTTGAATATTTGTCTTGATATAGATAATTTAAAATCTTGATTAATTAACCTTGATTTATATCTGCATAACCTAAGTTTGTTTTCTCCGTAACGACTAGCTAGGACTGATTTTCATTAAATTTATCAATGATTTCAGTTTCTAATATGATTTCTTATTATATTCAAATTTCAATAAAACCTGATGGTATGACAACCATATTTTAGTCCCTCGGTACTCATATATTTCTTTATTCCCCTCAAACTTAAATATCAACCCACTAATATAGGCAGAAAAATATTAACAAATACAAAAATTTTATTAACTTCATATTCACTCCAATAGTGACTTCTACAAATGGCCATTTTTAGCCAATAAAATATAATTTTAAAAAAATCTAGGCAATAAAATACGGCTTTTACATAGGAAGCCAGAGAATTTTTATATTTGCGCCAAAATATTTAAAGTGAAATTTTTAGACTTAATTATGGTTTATTTTTGATAACTCAATCATAAAATTGTATTTCAAATATACAATTTTTTAAATTTTAATTTATAGTATTTTAATTTATTGTAAATTGTAATTCATGTTTAAATTTAAATTATTATAAATAAAAGCAATTTTAAATTTTAAAAAAAAATGAAAAAATGAAAAAATCAGCAAAAATAAATTTTAGAAATAACGCTCAAGCCCCAGACCCTCGATATTTATAAAATTTAATTTTATGTTAGTCTAAACATATTCTTTGTTCAAATAAAGAATAATTTTATAAAATTACTTTTGAGTGTAGAAATCATATATTGTGTTATAAAAATTTTATATGTGATCCGATATTAAAGAAGATTATAACCGCATATGCATAATTCAGTTATATATATTTGGTTAAAAAATTGACCATTTCAGATTAATAATTTCTTCATTCCATTGAAAACTACATTGTTAGCCTTTAAAAAACGAAGGGAGGATCCGAATAGGTCACTAATTTGTAGGCCTCTAAAGTAATAAGCAATAAAATCGGCATGCCCTTCAGTTCATTCCTTACCAACTTGGGTTTGGAATTTAAAGTGGCTATAAAGCTTCCTTCCATGCTAATCATATTTTGAAAACCCATTCAACACATTTCATAGGTTTGTCTCATTTTTTTTTTAAATTTTTCCAGAGTATGCAAAGTATACATAACAGCTATGCTCACAGACCTTCCTAAATTAAACTACGACTCGATAAAGTTACAAGAAATCCAGCAATGAGATCTCTCTAGAGCCCATTTCCATGTTTTGAAGATTTTTTTTAAAATCTATTTACGTTTATTTTAGCCTCATATTTCTTTTTTTACTTGTTTTTACAATATCTATTTCGTTTTTCAAAAACTATATTACTTTTTGACAATCTCTGTTTTCGTTTTTCAATAAAATCAAAATTACAATTCATTATTACTTTTGTAAACATCAAATTCATCTTTTTCATAATTTTTCAATTCTTATACTTTCTTAAATCAATTACAACTCTTGAAAATCATCTTACCAATTAAAACTCAGAACCAATCTATTCTTTTTCACTCCAGAAAACTTTAGTATCTCAATTCAAATAAACTATTTCTTCATTCTGCTTCGATTTTTTATCTACATGCCTAATTAATTCTCCTAGTTTTCTAGTTCCTTATATCTAAATCCTCATTAAAACAATTCAAAATAAGTTTCTCTACTACTTACTTCAAGGCATTATCCTCAAACTATATATACAAAAAATGTAGAAAAAAGAAGGGATATAAGAACAAAATGGATTTATATCCAAACTATATTCCAATTTTTATCATATTATTATAATATAAATACCATGGGAAATATGATTATAAATATAATTCTGAAAGATATTGAATCTAACAGATGCTTTTCAGTTATAGTTGGTGGTGTACCAGGCGAAAGCCAAAAAATGCAGATGCCGGATTATATTTTTCAAAAATATTATTGTTAATATTAATTTATATATTTGTTAATATTTATTCCTATCTCATATATATATTTAATTACATTTATTTTTCACATTCATCTACTTTATTTTATCAATTAATTTCGATTTCAAGTTTTCCTTAGCGTAATATTTACCAATTATTTTCAAATTTTAGTGGCGTAATATTTATCTAAATTTCTAGTCAAATAATAATTATCCCTGAAACTCCTTGTCCAAGAGGGAGAAAGAAATTGCAAGCTTGTCCAACGAGATCTAGTCTCTGCCATCAAGCATAACAGCTTTTATGGATTTAGAAGAGCCGATTATTAATGCTATTACTGAAATATCACAATGGCTTGAAAGAAATATTTCCTCAGAAGCAAAAAAATTATTGGATTCAATACTTATTCCAAATTTTTTTTCTCAGTAGAATGTATTATTTAATTATACAACTATTTTATATGATACTTTTCAAAAACATGACATTGACTTGATTAAGAAGATGTGAATAGCGCAGAGCATTTTATTAGAACTCAAGGAAATTAGAGCTAATGTTGATTCATATTTTAAATGGTATTGTTGAGTCAAAAGCAGAGCTATACGTGTTTAATATTTGTCCCCCTCGACTTGCAGCAAGCAAGCTCATCGTCAAGACATTAATATAGGATCAATAGAAGAGTATTATAAAACAAATATCCCCTCTCTTAGATACATTTATAACCCAAATAAATGAATGGTTTTTAATTCATCATGCAGCACTTACCAATCTGCAGATATTATTTCCTCAAAAGCCTTCCCAACCTTTTTCCAAGGTGATAGAAAAAAAAAATATTTGTTTAATTTTTATCATGAAGATGTTAAAGTATCTTATGATGCCTTATTAGCTGAATAACTAAGGTTGACACAGTCCCAAAAAATGCTATGGATACTTTGCATTATTTCAAACACATTTTAGGTTATATTCCAAATGTATTAAAATGGTTATATATATTAGTACTCTTCCCATTAGTAAACTAATGAGAAAACAATCTCTTTTTTAAGAAGAATAACAGAGCTCGGCAGATGTACCATTTGCAGGGCACTGCCCGGATTTTTTAAAATAAATTATATTTATTTTTGATTTTTATAGCTAATAATGGCGATTTTAAATATTTGGTTTTGAAATATATAGCCTGGCCCGGATATTTTTTTTAAAAAAATTTCGGGCCTGGCCCGGGTATATTTAAAAAAATTAAAATATGGTTCGGCCTGGGGGCTGGGCCTGCAAGTCTCTGAAAAACATACCTATGAAGTACAACTTCTGAAAGTAGATTGAATGGTTTGGATCTTTTGAATATTCATAGGCATTTAACGCCAAGCAAGGATGAGATAATTGAAAAATTAGCACAAAACATACAAAATACAATTATTCCTAAGAAACATTTTGTGTGTTAATTTATATTTCCAACATTTAAATTTTTTATACTTTATATATAAATTTTAAAAGCTAAAAATATTCAAATATCAATTTTGGGTCATTTAAGTGTATGGTGCTTATATTTTATATTTTATAATTCACATTTATTTTATAGTTTTTTAATGCATATACATAATTTTTTTATTTCGTACACGCCTGAGGTGCACATTAATGTTTCGAAATCAGAAGCAATGGCTTTGTTAGTAAAATATATTAAAAAAGGTGAAATGTCTAAGTCAATTGAAATATTCATAGATATATATTGTAGGTAAAACGAATGGGCTTAATATTAAATTAATATAATATGCAAACTTATCCATGAATCTACCCTTAGGGAAAAATATGATGGTGCTTCAAACATAAGTGAAAAACTCAATGGAGTGCAGGCTTTGATTAGAGCTGATGCTCAAGGGTGGCTTTTATTCGGTATTATGTAATTATTAAATTTAATCATTGTTCAATTATGCCAATCGATAAAAGAACTAAGAAATGTTTTAGGGATCCTAGACGAAATCATTCCCGTGTGTGTTTTACAATGGTGCTAAGAGATATGCACTGCTCAAATCTTAAAGTGATGTACTGACAAAATCACAACGATGTTTTTCATAAAAAATACTACTAGGTAATATAATCATATTTATTTAGATTCAAAATATTTATTTTATATTTATAGAAGTTGGCTATAATCATACAAAGCTATTGTAAATTTTTATATATCTTTATGTACTTCATCCCTTGTGAATAACTTTAATAAATTTAAAGGATTTTGAAGATCCTATAACTTCTACATGGCTAGTGCTATAGATTTTAGAACAGAAAATTTTACTTCATTTTACCACTCTGTGTTTTGGATAAATTATTGTTGATATCAACTTAGCTTGTACAAAAGTGCAAACCATGTCGAATAGGTTTTACAATAAACTAAAAAAGATTCACTATTAATTTGAGAAGTATATTTTAAATTATTGTCTTGTATCATTTTTTATATTGGATAATGACACTGAATTTTGGAATGTTTTCCAAAGGGGAGAAATCTACCTTTTAATTTTGAAAGTTCTAGGCTTCAAACATTACAACATTATTATATATAATATTTTATTTTAGCTTTAAAACCATTATGTTTTATGCCGCACTTGATTTGATAATAATGCAGTTTAATGAAAGATTTTGATGAATCAATGAAATATTTAAAACAAGCATAATTTTTTACACCAAAGGGAATGAAAAGGCATTAAATTTTACCATTTGGATTCGAGTCAAATGTATAAGTTTCAAAATATATATGGCTTAAAAGGGGGATGTAAATATTACACATGACCTGAAGTTTAAAGAAAAAATTGTTAAATTGTGAAAATTAAAAATTTAAATTTATTAAAAAACTTATATTAATACATTATTTAGCTTCTTCTGATGATGATTTTGAAACTTATAATTCAGACTGAAAAAACTATTCCTTTATATCTTATCGCTAACCTTCCCTAATTTATCAAAAATATTTATTAACTATTCTCATGTATTGCCGAAAAAGTTAATGAGTGAAATTAAACTAATTAAAACAAGACTCATACACAGGGTTGTGCATTTGACCGGTATGTTTCGATCAATTGACCGATATTCGACAATTCAAATATGGTCATAATTCAAATATATCTTTTTTAAGTCAATATTAACTTTATTTTGAATATAATAATAAAATGAATCTATAATATCAATTTTTTAAATTTCATTGTCATTCAATAACTAACGTTTAGTTCTCTGTAGCAGTCTTGTTCTGATTCATATTCAATATTATCACTTTCTTTAATATTTTTTAATCAATTTTCCTGATGTCGAGATCTTTCGATTTCTATTTTCATAAGAATAAACCCAAATCGACCTATTTCTTTCTTATGAAGAAGTAGTAATAGGAATTGTTAGCCTCTTAATGGGTGGGGGCAAAGTTTAATCTATTAACTTGAGGTCGGAATTGATTGTGTTTTCTACATAATTTACTATTAAACATGCTGCTTTGTTTCTGAAATTAATTATATCACTTAAAATATTTTGGTCATCACCACTTTGTAAAATGCTAATTCTTGAATTATATCATATACTTCATTGAATTCACTAGTGAGATACTCCTCTTAATATTGGGGACCCAAACAAGCAACATTGTAATCACATGTATTTATATCGTTTTTTTCTTTTTTAAAATATTTTTAATTTTTTTTCTTTAGATTTTTCTAGAGTATTTGATCAGGTCAAATACTCCTCCGGTCAATTAACCGAATTTGCCGGTCAATTCATACATAGTACTATGAAAGATCCTTTTCTAAATAATTTAACCATTTTTATCAATGAAACAAAATTATTTAAACAATTAATATTGACGAAATTATAAATTCCTTCGCTTTCTTTTCTCCTTGTCTAAATTATTCATTAAAAAGGTATTTTTACTGATATATTTTTTTACATTTTTATTTATATTGTATAATAAAGATTGGTGCAATAAAAATTATTGTAATTGAGGTTAGGAGTTAAAAAATAATTTTAGAGCCGTGTATTCTTTTCAATGGGAGATGTAATTTTAGGGAGGTTGAGGGTGCTCTCTCGGAAAGTATAGGCACTGACTTTAGACAATCTATTATATTTTTTATAAAAAAATATTATATAAAAAATATATTAGTCATTTCTATAGCATTATAGTAATAAATGAATATTGTCAAATAATTATGAATACAATGCATTAGCAAATATCAAATTTTGATTATTATAGAATTCCATTGAAATTTTTAAATGCTCCATATATTTCAAATTACCTTCAGTCAAATTTTAATGCATTGTTTCTCCATATCTTTTTTATTTTAATAATTAAATAATTAATTAAAAATATAAAATTTTTAGTGTTAATTTAATATAACTGGTATACCTAATCTAATACACATTTAAGATTTATCTTGAGGCCTATATTTTTTTTACATTAGAAATTACAAAACGATAAATTAAAAATAATTTTTCTTTAATTATAAATAAAAAAAAATAAGCTAACTTAAAAATTTTTCTTTTATCTACCATATTTGTCAATTTATTATTATTATTGCTGCGCTAGATATTTTGTTTATAATTATATCATTTTTTATTAATTTAATGCAAGAACCTACTACTTACGCAAGCTTCTATTACATAAAAATTTCGATTTCAAAAAATTGAAGAGATGAATCTTTTTATAATAATAAAAAATATATCATAGAAGCCTTTTGATGTGATTCTGTTTATTTTTTTACATCTTTCATGTGAACTCAACGGCGTCTAATTGGTTTACCGAAAAAAAAGTTTTTTTTTATATAAATGGAATGATCTTTTTTAATAATATCATATAAAAACGATCAATGGATGTCAATAATCATTTATATAAAATTTTAATAAATAGGGTAATGGCTAAATGTCGGCTAATTCGGCTCTACAGGCGTGTGCTAGAGATAATTCATTTATATTAAGGCGTTTTAATTTATATTAATTTATTTAAAATTTGAGTTGCTTTATTTTTAAGAAAAACCCTGAGTGGTTATATATATTTTTTAGAATAATTTTTACAGTATATGATTATTTGAATCTAACTAATAAAAGGAAATGAAATACCATGATTAAGTCCTCGATTATATGCTAAACTTTAAAATGGTTTCTAGTCCTGTTATCCTTGTCATCTAATAATAATATTTGATATCGAGGATCAAGATATGGACATGCATAGTAATTGTTTTAAATATATACTCCCAAAAAAAGTTTTAAATATATACTCCCAAAAAACTTCCTTTAAAAAAACTTTTGTAATTTCCATGCATAAAAAATCCTTCAAGATTACATTAAGATTTTTTAAAGATTCTAAATTTCATTTTTTTTATTATTACCTTATCTCTTTTATTGGTTGTGACCTCTTATTTGAAGATGAAATTTATCGAGAAAGAATACCAATCAAATTTCAACGAAAAATTAATTTCAATACTTTATTTCTATATATGAATCCAAAATAATAATTATAAATTTTACAAGGATTTAAACCAAAAAAAAGAGAATTATTAGCATTACAATGCTCCCCTTTTATAAGGGAACTCCTAATTATAAAAAAATAATATTAAAAAATAACTATTAAAAAATAACTATTTAAAAATACATTTCTTTAAAATTAAAAACCAAAAAATTATATAAATTAAAAATAAAAATTCAGGATGATTTCACAAAAATTGAATTTTTAAATCTAAATATAAAAATATAACTTAATAATGAAAACACACTATAATTTCACAAAAATTTAATTTATAAATCTAAATAGAAAAATATAAATCGTGACTAATCCATACATTTAAAACTTGAATCCTCACTAACTGTGCCATCTCCGCCCTTTTCCCAGTTCTTGAGGCCCCAGTAACTTGATATTCCTGTTCTTCCATTCTCAATGATGGTAACGACGGTGCCTCTTCTTCACACATCGGGCGCCCTTACCTCTCCATGCCTCTGCGCTCGCATGAACTGCCCTTGCGTTGGCTCAATCTGTAATGCCCCCTGGGGCACCATCGTCGAATATGCCCCGTAGATTCGCATCCATAGCATAAAGCGATCTCCCTCGCCTCTCTTCTTGATTCAATTCGGCCTCAAAATCGTTCCAACGCTTGGACTGCTGGTATCACTATTGAATCCTGCCAAAGCTCTCCACTCACTAGCTAACGACTCCATATCCCAACTGATGATGGTGGTTCTGACCAAGTTTGTTCACAGGTCGAGATATCTGCATATGATTTAAACTATATTATCAAACTATCTACCCCCATCCAATAACTTGTTTCTCTCTTACCATTATTTTACCTCCGGCACATTATTATTTAGATCTTAACACCCTTATAGAAAAACGAGAAGAAAAAAGAAAATAATAAATAAACAAACAATTTATTTCTTACTTGGTTATAATGGTTATTAGAATTATAGGTTAAAAATAAAATATAACTTCTTAAAATATAAAACTTAATTTTTTATAAATATCTATCATTCTCTTTCCAAAAAAATCCCCCTACTTCATCTGTTATATAATTTATCTTTTTTTAAAAGGATACGCATTCGCTTCGATTCAATTTAGATTCTTCCTTGATACTCCTGACATTATTTCTATTTCCAAACTATATTTCCTTTTATTTATTTTTTTAATCTCATTTATTTGTTTTCTTTAATTTTCTATTACTATCAATTAAAAATATTTATTTGCCATTTTTTTTAGTTGCAACAATAAATGTTGTAACATTTCTGCGAGGAAAAAAAATACAAGTACTTTCCTGCGAAAAAAATAAATAATCCCATTCATTCCAAAGCACCTTCTCTTCTATTCCAACGCACACTCTACCCTAATAAAGAACATCCCTCTCATCATCAGAATCCTTCACTATCCATTATATTTTTGTACTTTAGGTTATTTAATTCTCATAATATGCCCTTCAATATTTAAATCCTCTTTATCCCATTCTAGCGTACATTCCACCTTCGTGACCTACCCTCCATTCACCACCGGTTACGTAACAATTCTTCCTCTATAAAATTTTTCTCCTTACATATGTATTTTTGCCTGAACAATTTTTATGACCCTCTTTTTGGGAGAAATGCCCCCCCACCTTCTCATCTATCGTCTTGACCTCACTAAAAAAATGTTTAAATCTTGTTGCCCCAGGTCTACTTCTCTGCGCACTTGATTTTCATGCCGTATGGCCACCTTCCCATCTTGAAACAATACTCTAATTAACCTTCTCCCTATATTTATTGATCACCACCCCAGACTGCCACTTCTTTTCTTCACCATAAACTCTTGATTAGCACCCTTTCGTTATACACGATCCGGGATAGAAATCAACTGAATGTCTTGGTTTATGGCTTTGTTCATTCTTATAACTTTATTGATCTATAAGAATTTTTTTAGGAAGAATGAGTAACAAGTTTACGTGAAAACAATATTTTAAAGAAAAGTATAAAGCGACGATAATGAGTGATTGTAAGTAATATTTAAGTATTTAAATAAATAAATATTCGCGCAAGAATCCTTCTATCATTGAGTCGTCTTTTCTCCCGTAGAATTTTTTATAGTTGCTAATTTAAGTAATCGGTGTGGATAGATATTTTCTAGATGTTGTATATTTCTGTTGATGGAATGGACATTCCCAAGATAAGTGAGGGGGTATTGATAGTCTCCGAACCGAATAATGAGTATAAGTTTTCTGCATTTCTCACTGTCTGTTCCAGTTCTGTTTAGCGTGGTAAGTCGAAAAGGATTATAGCGGATCTGTCTACAATCCAGCTCCTTGAGGGTTCATCTGCTGGATTTTAATCAGTGGGGATCCATGATGTTTTGAATTACAGCGGTGAAGTCGGGGGTCCTAGTTTTTTTAGGATCTGGGTAATGGCTATCTGGGTTGATGGAGATTTTGACCCTTTTCTGAAGACATAATATACCACTGTTGAATCTGTGAAAATTACAGGGACCCCATATTTGTTGATGGCAAGCAACGCCCCATCCCTACTGAGAGGATAGCATTGATATGCGCGACCGCGTGAATCGGGATATTGAAAACGAGGGCCGCCTCTTGATATGCGATTGAGAAGTTGTCAATGCCCCAGAAGGAAATCCTGATGTGCGAGTCGAATGCGTCCGTATATGCCATGTTGTTTGCCTGGTACCGTATGTTGATTGGTGTTGGTAGCACGTCTATGATAATTTGAGCCTTCTGGAATGCTACGCACGTGTCAACTATCGGCGTTATTTCTCTGCTGATCATAGTAGGGCGAAATGAGCCTGAACATTCTAGTAATGGTATATACAAAATGGTTAACGACTCCTAGGACTCTAGCGGTGAGTAACCAACCAATATCCAGATGTTGGTACAAATGCCGCCTGAAAATTTTGAGACAACGGGAGAAGCGTCGTCGAATGTTGTTATCCGCAGTTAATTTCTTGGCTCGCAAATCGTTAGGGATATAGAGATATGTTATGCACGGTGTGGAATCCAGTACCGATTTTTTGATTGCGAGTTCTAGTCCCTAACCTTCAATGATAGATCTGAGGGACCTCGTAGACCTTTTGACTTCGAATTCGCTGTCGCCATATATTATCGTCTAAGTAAACTTTATAGTTGGATTTTCTAACCGTCTTTGCGCAGGCATCTAGAATGATCGATTACAAACTATATGGGCTAAAGGATGCTCCATAGGGAGTACCAAGTATCCTTAGTCTCTGCCCCGGCATCGGAAACCGAAGAAGTGTCTCACGTGTTGTGATAATAGAATAGAGAAGAAGGCAGATCTAATATCTATTTTGCAAGCAACCCCGACAACATCGAAATAGACTTGAGGCGGAAAGGAAACTTGAAGAAGTTTTTGGACGTTTCGGAGAAGTCGCCGATTACCCTCGAATAACAGTCCGACTAAGGCATGAAGTAGAGCGGGGAGCAGATTTGGTAAGCATTTTTTGGGTCTACGATCTTACCTAATAGTTGATTGAGTATTGCGAGGTATCTGTCGGTAATCGCTCAGCTGTGACGATGTCTAAAATATCTATTTTCGTTTTCCCAGATTCTTGTGTGGTACAATCTGGTTTTCCCAGATTCTTGTGTGGTACAATCTGGGCCTAAATCCTCTTGTGGCTACTGCAAGGGTAAAACTTGGCATCAGCTGTCCCACGGTTAGCTTAGCTGTAACTATGTTTAGGGAGGGACCGTTGACGAGGTCGGCGTCTGTGTAGATCTTTCGTCTTCCATGGCTCATACCGGTGCATTCATCTTTGGGAGAAATAGTTGTGATCTCCAAAGAGTGAACTCTCCAGGG